TTTTTAATTTGTTGTTGTCCTTTTTGAGTTGTGCAAGGAGGCACAGTGTGTCTACCTGTACCTCCATCTTGGGCAGAATTTTGACTTTTATGTTCTGGTATCCATTTCCCCATCCCACTTGCCCAGGAATTTTCCTAGATTCTTACTATTCTGCCTCATTCTGACTCTGCACTCCATGCATGTGAAGTTTTTGCAATGTTCCAGAATGTTCTATGATAGGAGGCTGCTAGGCTCAGCTCAGGAGGACACTGAGGGTCAGTGTAAGGTAGCTGTTGAAATCTCAGTCAGGTTTGTCATCCCTCATGGATTTCAAGGCCTCCACTGTCTCAGGATTAATTAGGATCTGGAGACAGACTGGAAAGCAGGGATAGGACCCTGGCTCTGTGAGTCTGGCACTGCCATGGGGAAGATGGGCAATAGCAGAAATGACACAGAGAAATGTAATCATGACCCAGTGCTGTGAGGGAAAGTTCCTGGTATCACAGAAGCCGATGACCAGGAGACCTACAGGTCCCCTTTCACTGGTCTCCATCCAATCTGAAAGATGTAAAAGATAATGGCATCTGAAACAGAACAATTATGCGCAATCATACAACAGAAAAGATTTCTTGGAAATTAAAAATATCATCATAGAAATAAATTATTCAGTAGATGAACTGGAAGATCCATGTTGTTCTCCTACTAAGTGGTACAATTGGAAAAGAGTGGGGAAGCAGGACAAAAGACCTATTAGTCTGCCAGTCAAGAGATCCCTACAGGTTTATAATGTCTGTCTAAAAATAATGATGAGTACGAAATGATTTTTAACATTTTCATGATATATTTCTCAAAGTTTACAGGTAAATTACAGTTCTAATGGACTGAACAAATTCTGACTACAGCAGATAAAAACAGACCCACACCGAGACACAACACAGTGGAATTTGAGAAAGAGGGTGGAGGGACCTTGAAAACTTGAACAGGCAGCAAACATGGGCATGGAGGCTAGAAGACATTCTTGCAGTGCCTCCTACTTTCTGCAGAAAAAATTATTTCCCACACAGAGTTCTATATTCAGTCAAAATATGAATGAGGGCTAGGGTAGCCTACAGTTTCTGCATGTGTTTAGAGTTTTCATAGTTTACTTCTCACGTTCTGTTTGGGAAATACTACCAAGGTGGAAAAAAGGAGGGAGTAAACAAAAAAAAGAGGAACATGTAGAATCCAGGTGACAGGGATTCCAGAACAGGAGAGGCCAGGGCTGCCTGAGATGAGGTGACCAACTGCCAGGATGTCTGCCTACTCCAGGTGTTCAGGGACCCTGTCCACATGTGGCAGGACTGAGGGCTGAGGACAGGTGTGTGCAGAGATGAAAGTAGTTGAATATCTAGCCTCTGTTGGGGGCATGATTTTTTCTTCTCCTGATAAATGATAAAATTAAAAAAAAAAGAAAGTAGTTGAATATCTGATGTGCTCAGATATGTACTTATGAAGATTTAGACTCTGGGGTGAGTTATGGAATGAATTTGGGAACCAAATGGAATCGCCTCAATGCTGACATGGGACCAGATGCAATGATCAACCACCCTGAATCCCAGTGCTGACCTTGAGCCTAAGTCTCTTAGTGCCTTCTACAACCCATACCCTAGAGGCATTGGAGAATCAACTCACCTGTTACTCAGTCTTTGGTGCCACCTCCTTAAATAAACTTTTTCTTTCTTTTATATGTTTTTTTAATCCTCACTATAGGGCACTTTTTTTTCATTGCTTTCTGAGAGGGAGAAAGGGAGAGAAACATTGATGTGAGAGAGAAACATCAGTATTTCTGAATATGAAGCATATTGTTGAATTACTGCAAGTAGGTACTGTCTTATTCATAACTGTATTTTTAAAAAAGTCATATTTAATGGTTTTCACCACATGCACCCATTCTGGCAGACTTGGAAAATAATGGGACTTCATTTCAATCCAAATAAGTTTTTCTTCCCTGCTGCCTCAGGTCATGAGAGGTCAGAGGGGTGTCCCCATGCAATGAAAGACAAATACGAGTGACACTCACACACAGTAACCACACAAGAGAGTGACGATGTCCCAGCAGAAACTCGAGGCCAGCACCTCCTGCTGGGGGATTTGAAACAGGGAAAGTGTGTGTGGGGTGTCACGGAAGGGCCGACACTTCTCTGTGTTCTTCTGTCTGTAGCTGCGTGTGTGTCTGTCATTGGATCTTATTTCATGATCAGGGATTTTTAAGTCATAACCAAATAGTGCATGTCAATGCACATTCCTGTCTTCACACCCAGCCCTAAATACTTGGCCATACAAGGCTGTACCCAAGTTCCCAAGGGACAGGAACCCTTTTTCTCACTGACTGGGACTCCAGGGCACAGGGACCTGCAGAAATCCTCCTGAAACGCCCGCTACACTTCCCCCTTAAACCTGCCCAGCCCAGGCAGGAGGGGCAGCTCAGGATCAGGCAGGCTCAGCACAGTCCTGCCCAGGGCACTGCCCACCCACAGGTTCCAGTCCCTCCTGGGCTGACCCCTCCTGATTCCGCCCTGAGAGTGGACTCCAGGGAGCCCCTGCCTGGCTGGTCTGACCTCCACAGCTCTGTGCAGGGACAGATCAGGCAGGACGGCTCCTGACCACAGTTACAGGGACAGAATTTGTGGTCCTGACCTCCCCACAGAGGTGCCACTATCATGTCACCTCTTCTGTCAGTGACACAGTCTGTGTGGGGAGCCTGGGGTGTCTCTAAAGGAGAGCAAACTTGTCCCATGCAGATCACCCTCTGGCACATTTGGTGACTGGGGCCAGCGATGGCCATTACAGAGATGCCCTCAGGAGCAGTGGGGGAGGCAGAGAAAGTGTCCCCTGTTCCTGGGGAGGAGCTGAACTTAGAATCACATGTCATTGCGGTGCAGGGACGTCTGGGCCAGGAGCTCTCTTCAGGGTGTTTCTCACTGGGCCTGTTCCTTCAGCTCCTTCTCTTGTCCAAACTCTGTCTTGAAGTACCTCATACTGGTCAACTTAGCACATTTTTTAAAACTTAAAATTATTATTTTCTTGCTGTATTTCTTTCCATCACCATTTACCCTCTTCTCACATCCCACCCCTTCCCCACACGCAATTACGACACTGTCATCTGTTTTCATGAGTTAATTTTTAAAATTTGTTCAGTTACACTTAGCATACAGTATTGTATTGGTTTCAGCTGTAAAATGGAGGGATTAAACATATATGTATATGTGTCTTATTACATAATCTCTCTGATAAATCCAGTACCCATCTGACACCATTTGTAGTCACACGATATCAGCCTCCTGTCCCTGTGCAGTGCTCTACATCTTACTGAGAAATGTCCGGGGCTGACACAGGACAACCAGCATATTTTCGGTGACTTAGGCTGAAGGTATGAGAGAGACTAAGGAGGGTGAGTGTAGAAGTGGTGAAGGGCACAGCAGGACAATCTCAGAACATCTCCCTGTAAATTACTAATGAATAACAATCAGTAAATGGTGACCGTATGATGAAGAAACATGGCCAACACCAACCTGGGTGAGTCACCAGGATGAATGTCCCCACTGTGAGGACAGGGAGGTGCAGTGTCCAGTCCTCGTTCTGTCCTCTTCTGCAGCCCAGGCTCCTTTGGTGGCCTCATCCACACTCACGGATTTAAATGCCATTTTTGTAGCATCACCTCCAAGTGTGTGTCTCCTGCCCAGACATTTCTCCTCAAAGACCCCACACTCATCTGTCCAACCTGACTCCTCACTGGTGTTTTAAACACACGTCTCACTTTGACCTTTTCTTCAGCTGAAAGCTTGACATGCCCACCCCTCCCTCACAAATACTCCTGCCAGCATCTTCCCCATCTCTGCTGATATAACCCCATCTTTCTGCTGGCACAGTACAAATATGGGGTGTCCTCCTTGACTCCTTTCCCACACCCCAGATTGAATCACTAGGAAATGCTGGGAAATCCATCTTCCAAATGCATTCAGTGTCCAGTCCCTTCCCACTGTTTTCACCACTCACAGCCCCGTCAGAACACCCAGCACCTGCAGCCTGGAACCCTGGGAGCTTCCCACACCTTTCCCTCCTGCCTCGCTGGTCCCTGGTCTCCTGATTCTGTTCTCAGCTCAGCAGTCGCACTGACCCTGTGGCCCAAGGGCTCTCCCTTGAGGAGGAACTCTCAGAGGAAGCCACTAAGGACATGGGCTCCTTGGCCATGGCTTTCCAGGACTCAGCATGCACAGATTGAGAGCAGTGTCTGCAGTGGATTAAGAACAGTGGACACTGAAACAGTTCATGCTTTAAGCAGGTGTCCTCACCTTGTGATTGGTCAGCTCTCTGAACCCCACATGACACCGCTGAGGTCTACATGAGGGAGGGCTAGAAGCTTGGGGTGATTCTTAGGCAACAAAGTAGCACTTGGTTAGAATCAGGAGACTCAACAAGCCATAGGTAGAGGTTCCAAAAGGTTACATTCAGATCTACAGGAAGAAATCCTGAACAGTGCATGGAGCACAGGTGGTCAAAAGGAGCATCACTGGGGAGCAGTGCAGTCTCCCTGTCCCATGGCACATAGTCTGTCCCTCCCAGGTTGTCTCCATGCCTCCTGGTAAGTTTATGAACGTAAAGTGACTTAGAGCAGCTTAAGAAACAGGGTGAAGGCGTAAATGGAATCATGCCTACCAGAAACAATGCACCTTGGAGCTTTTACTCTTTATCACATTTGATTTATTATATATACATGACGTTCCAATGCTAAATGCAGAAAGAGCAGAAATCCTTAAAGTCTGAAGGGGAGGCTGCAGTGACTGTTTTCACAACAACTCCTGTAGAAAGCAGCTCTGTTACGCTGGAAGAAAGTTATTGTGAACAAATTCAGGTCAGCCTCAGAAAGGTCACATTCTCCCACAGCCAATGACATGCTCAGAATGTCCCACTCTGAGCATCCCCAAAACACAGCTGTGTCCCTCAGTCCCAATGTCCCCCACTCCTGGCCCTCAGGGTCTCACCCTTAGGAGCTGCGAGAGACACATCAGAGCCCTGGGCACTGTCGCTGCCTGGGGAAGACACAACAGCAGAGTTACGGGGTGGGGGAGCCCCCCTCACAGACTCCAGCCCACACTCTCCCAAGGGTCCCAGATGTCACCTCCCCAACACCCAGACTTACAGGCAGCCTTGGTGTAGCTCTTCCTGCCTCTGCCTGTGGGAAGAAAATGTTTTGTGAGAAGTTGGGGGGAAGCCTGGGTCCCGTGACCCTAGAGGAGCCCCATATTCTAAAGCAAGGGGAGGTCCCAGAACTGAGACTCAACACTCACATTAGGATCTGAAAACATGGGGAAAGTACATGTGTGCAGACTGGACCTACCACCACTCTGCACATCTGTCCTCAGCAGAGAACTTCCCCTCTGACCTGAGATAGTTGGGAATCAGTCCCCATCACTAGAACCATCAGGTGATAAATTTGTCCCTCACTTTCCCACGGGCCTCACTAAAGAGTCAGTGTTAAGAAATTGGCCCCAGATGGACAAGCACCTGTGTGGGGACACGATGCCCATTAACCAGGCAGAGCACACTTCCACCTGGGCTTGACCCCCAGGGGGACAGGGAACTCAGCCCCACCCCTTGCCCACCTGAGCACTTCCTCCTCCACATCACAGCTCCAGCAGCCACAGCTCCAAGGAGACCCAGGGCAGCAGCAATGCCCACAATGCCCATGATGGTGATGGTGGTCTGAGGAGGGGGTTCTGAGAGGGGAAGGTGAGAGGTCAACCTGAGGCCTGAGTCCTGACCCTGCTCAGGGACACCCTGAGGAGAGAGAGGCTCTGTGCCCACACCCCCTCCTCACCCCATCTCAGGGTCAGGGGCTCAGGCAGCCCCTGGTGCTGCACATGGCAGGTGTATCTCTGCTCCTCTCCAGGGGGCACGGCCACAGCTGCCCACTTCTGGAAGGTTCCGTCCCCTGCAGGCCTGGTCTCCACAAGCTCCATGTCCTGGGTCAGGTCCTCCCCTTCACGCTGCCAGGTCAGGGTGATGTCCGCAGGGTAGAAGCCCAGGGCCCAGCACCTCAGGGTGACCTCATGGTCAGAGATGGGATGGTGGGTGATGTGTGTCTTTGGAGGCTCTGAGGGGAGGGGGAGAAAATTCAGGGACTTTGCATGGTCATGGGACACTCCAGCAGTGCTCATGTGACCACCCTGAGAGTGGACAGGACAGTGGGGGTGGGGGAAGGGAGTGCACCACCCAGACACCAGCCTGGACAGAGGCAACTGGCATAATCTCCAATTCCTGGAAAGTTCCAGAATTAGGGTGGAACCTAGGGTAGGAGCGTCCAGGTCTCTAAGGGGAGACACAGACTCAGGTGGAGGCTGATGACTCAGCAAACCCGGAGTCATGCCTCTAAAGAGGGTCTCAGTTCTGGAAACAGGGAGAGCATCCTGGTGCCCCAAGGAGCTGCAGGGCGTGAGGGAACCTCTGTGGGGTGTTTCAGGGAGAGGCTGGGTCCCTTACTGTCCTTTAGAGGAACTTGGGCCCAAGGCTGAGTCACAGAATAAGGAAACGTGGGAGTCTGTTCCCCCTCCCGAGCAGGAGGGACATTCTGACACTGCCCCATTTCCCTCCTCTCCTTGTAGGAAGCCGCCCCAGCCCACAGACCCCCTCCTCCGGAACGGCTGGCCCGGTACCTGCTCTGAGCAGGGTCTCCTTCCCCTTCTCCAGGAACAGGCGGAGCCGGTTTGCGCAGGTGTGCTCCAGGTAGGCCCTCCAACCCTCCACATCATCTTGATGCAACAAATTGCGCAGTATGCTGATCTGGGCGGTCTTGTTGGCTTGGGTTGTGGAACTCATCTCCAAGTTCAGGGTGAAGGTTTCGGTGCCGTCGTAGGCATACTGACCGTACCCGCCGAGGAAGCGCCCGCCCGACCCCACGACGCAGGCAGAAACAATCTGGAAGGTGTGAGACCCTGACCACTCCCTAAAGTCAGCCCCGCTGGAGGACAGAAGTGCCCTGCACCCGGCCAGTGGAGACCCGACCCGTCCCGCGGGGATTAAACGCAAACTGAGTGAAAATAAGACTGGGTTAGGATCCCCGCAGGCTGCTCCCGGGATGGGCGCAGGGCGGATCCCGCGGCCCTGGGGGGATGTTCAGACCCACAGATTCCGGGAGACTCCTGCCCCTCAGTGGGGATGGGGGTTGTGCCCGGATCCCGGTGCGCGGGGCTCACCGTCCTCGCTCTGGTTGTAGTAGGAGCGCAGGTTATTCAGCTTTGCTCCGGAAAACTGTTCGCAGTACTTGCAGACCCGGGTCTGCTCCTCCCAAAAATGTGGATCCTCCTGCTGCACCCACGGCTGCTCCTTCCACAGCAACCCCGGCTGCGCCCTTGGGTGCGGGAGGTCGCTGTCGAACCGCAGGACCTCCGTGTCGTCCACGTAGCCGACCCCGATGTACTGGGACTTCCCGAGTCTGGACATTAAGGTGCCGAAATGTCTCAGCGTGTGTGGGCCTGGGGACACGGAGCACACGCGTCTTGAGTGTGAGGTGTGGACAGTAGCGGCTGACCTCCCAGGAAACAGTTAAGGATTCGGTGGTTGAGAATGTGGGTGGGGGCTGGAGGAGGGGAGGGTACAGGTGGGGGTCCGGGGTCCGGGCACCGGGGTCTGGGGACGCGCATCCAGGTTCCAGGATTCTGCGCCCCTTCTGGGTCCCCTCCCTGCGGCCCTGCAGAGGCCGTTCCCTCCCGACCCGGCACTCACCCGCCCAGGTCTTGGTCAGGGCCAGGGCCCCTGAGAGCAGCAGGAGAAGAGGTTGGGGCCCCATCACCCAGACCCTGAGCTGCTAAGGAGATAGAACTCGGGTACTAAGGCAGGATTTTATACTCCAAACCACGGTAACGCTGATTGGCTCGTGTCGAGTTGGGACACACAAACCAGAATCGCAGCAGAACGTCAGGAGTATCCAGGCAGAAGGAGCCTTGAGAAGGGGAAGGGAAACCGAGGGAGAAGGGCGCACCGCAACTCTGAGAGTTCCCGCCCCAGACTCGGTCCTCGGGCTGACACCCTGAGGACTGGCTTGGGGACCGGGATTCTGCCCCAACCCTCCTCCTCTGCCTCTGCGCCCCTCACCCCGCCCCGTTTCGCTGCGTTCCACCTGCTGTTCTATTCAGCGACTCTCAAACAATTTGGTGTCAGAACATCTATATAGTCTTACAAAATAGGAAGGACTCGCCCAATACCTTTGTTTGTGTGGGTTATAGCTATCAATATTTACCTCACAAGGAATAAAACAGTTTGAAAAAATTAATTCGTTGGGAAAAATATTAATAACCAATGATATGTTAAGAGAAATAATACTTTTATGAAAAGTAACTATTCCCCAAGTAAATGAGGAAGTGAAAAGAGTGGAACTGCTTGTTACAGTTTTCTACAAGTCTCAGTGCCTGTCTGTGTAAGTAGAAGTTGGCTGGAATTTCATATTTGCTCCTGTGTTTAATCTGTTATGTTCATTTCAGTATATGTACAAACATACAGCCTAACAAAAATATGTAGGAGGAGCATTTTTAATAACCTTTTCAGATTAAGTGTGGGTATTCACCTTTGATCATTTACTAAAGCTACACAAGTGGTTGTTCCTGAAAAGCTATTTGCAAAGTGGAACCTGAAACTACACCATTGAGTGTTTCCTATTCTGTTACATGACTTCAGTGGCTCTTGTACTGATGCAGGATTATTTGAAAGTGATGCATTGTTTCACTAATGATGGAGATCTCCCAGTGTTGGTGCATTTAATGACACATCATCAAAAATCACACTTGTTAACATTACCGTTCCCACTGGAAATGGCCGTCAGCTCTGGGGAGCTGTCTGGCTGCTGTGGGGAGACACACGTTTGCAAAACCCTGGGTTTCCTCTGAGAGCTTCCACTCCATCCAGACAGCAAGTGCTGTCAGGTGTCAACTGCCCATTGACTTTCCTTGAGGGAGAAGCTCACGTTCATTTGAGAGAGTGTTCGCCAGTTCACCACACCTCAGTCATCACAGGTTCTGTGTCTCTCATTCTCTGAAGTGAACTTGCTGTTCTTTAAAGAAGAGGCCGACTCAGCCCTCACAGGTCACTTTCCTGGGCTCATGACACTTGGGAATGTAGCAGAAGTGTGTTTGTGTATTTTCCCGGTCATCATAGGAGGTAATTATATTTTTTAATTCTCCATTTCCATTAAGGACAGTTAAGAAATTAATCCATTTGCATCATGAATTCAAGACATACTTATCTTTTTTTAATGTTTTTTATTTTTCAATTACAAATGACGATCAATTTTAGTTTCTATACAACTCTGCTGCCTTCATTTTTCTGTGAGGGTCTTCGATACATCCACAAAATACAGCACACCCACGAAAGATTAGTTAATATTGTTGTTACATTTTGACATAGAAATTCCTTTTAGGAATTTATCCTAAGAAGATAATGACACATGTCCTGAAAAATATATATTCAAGGATGTTTCTTGTATTGTGGTTTTATAAAAGGAAAAGGATGGCATGTCTCTAAATGCTCCAATCAACAGAACGATGGTAATTATGGATAGAGAATCGCTTAATGTGTCTCAGGCAGTGACACCATAGGATCTACATAGAGGGTCAAGTGTAATCTTCAGATCAAACCCAAGGGACACTTGGTATAGGATCCTTGTGGAGAACGGGGGGAAGGAGACTCACAGATGTTCTGGGTGGTGGAGCTTCGGTGAACACAGGGGGTTTTCCCTCAGATCCTTGATGACCCACTTTCACTGGGTCCCTTGGCAGCTGTTGTCACCAGACAGGCCTGGGCCTGAGTGGTTCTGCCTCAGGACAGTCTGTGGAGTGTGGTATGTGGTGTGTGGGTGCTTGACGTCCTCTGGAAAATATTTCAGAACCCAAGTCCAGGGGATTTTGAAAGTACACTTATGAAAGTTGGGACAGTGACCACTAAGGAAAGACTTAGGGGTAGAATAAGTAACTGGAGAGAGCCTAGGTGGGTCTGCTCTGGTTCCTGGGAACGTTACAGGAGAGGAGTGAGCCAAAGTGGGGCTGCTGTCAGCTCACTGGAGAGTCAGGGAAAAGGGGAACATAAAGTCAAGATGGGGCATGAGCTGAGACCAGCTGCTGTTGCTCTCCTGGCTGAAAATGTCAAGGGCTCTTTAGAGCTCAGAAGGACAGAAGGAAGTTCATGTCTGACAGGGGGGTGTGGGTGTGATCTGGAGTGAGCTGCCCCAGGTCTCTTTCTGGAGGGTTTTTGTCTCTTTTCTCAGGGCGAGGAATTTAGGGAAAGGTGTCAGCAGAATATTCATCAGCTTTCATGGGTGTTTTAATATGTTGCTGCATCAAAATCAGTACATGGGGGGGTTGAAATTATTCTCTAGTCACTGTTTTACTTTTATCTTTGGTCTGTCCAGCTGCAATGCCTTTTGCTTTTTGTTTGTTTTGCTATTTATTCCCCTGACTTCATCTGTTCTTGTGTTATTCTGGCATAAATGCCACTAATTTGGTCTCTGTTGTTTATTTTCCCCAACCACGGTGATTTAATCTATTTATTGTCTGTTTGGGGAGGAAGAAAGGCAAAATCATTTTTTCTCACTTGTCCTTGTTTAGGAGAGAGAAGGTCTTTCTATTCACCAGTGGGCTGCAAGTTGTTCAGACACTTTGGCCGACTTAAATGTTTATTTTTGTAATAATATTTTTATTGATTATGCTATTACAGTTGTCCCATCACCCTGCTTTATCCCCCTATGCCCTGCACCCCCCTTTCCCACCCACATCCCCCTGCCTTAGTTTATGTCCATGGGTTGTACATATAAGTCCTTTGGCTTCTCCATTCCCCATACTATTCATAACCTCCCCCTGTCTATTTTCTACCTACAAGTTATGCTTCTATTCTCTGTACCTTTTCCCCCATCCTCTTCCCTCTACCTCCAGCTGATACCCCTCTGTGGGATCTCCATTTCTGTGCTTCTGTTCTGTTCTAGTAGTTTGCTCAGTTTGTTTTTGTTTTTTTGTTTTTTTTTAAGGTTTTGTTGTTTATAGTTGTGAGCTCATTGTCATTTTACTGTTCGTAGTTTTGATCACTTTCTTTTTCTTAGATTAGTCCCTTTAACATTTCATATAATAAGGGCTGGATGATGATGTACTCTTTTAACTTGACCTCATCTGAGAAGCACTTTACCTGTCCTTTCTTTCTAAATGAAAGCTTTGCTGGATAGAGTTGTCTTAGATGTAGGACCTTGCCTTTCATGACTGGGAATACTTCTTCCCAGCCCCTTCTTGCCTGAAAAGTTTCTTTTGAGGAATCAGCTGATGGGAAATCAGACTGACTGAGAAATCAGTTTTATGGGAACTCCTTTGTAGGTCACTGTCTCATTTTCTCTTGCTACTTTTAAGATTCTCTCCTTGTCTTTAATTTTGGGTTGTGTAATTATGATGCGCCTTGGTGCGTGCTTCCTTAAGTGCAAATTTTGGGGACTTTCTGTGATTTCTAGACTTCCTGGAAGTCTATTTCCTTTGCCAGATTGGGTAAGTTCTCCATTATTTTTTTAAAGTAAGTTTTTCCTTTCTTGCTCTTTCTGTTTTCCTTCTGGCACCCCTATGATTCAGATGTTGGAATGTTTAAAGGTGTCCTGTGGTTCCTCAGGCTTACTCATTTTTAAAAATTCTTGTTTCTTCCTTCTGTTCTGATTGACTGTTTATTTCTTCCTTCTGGTCCATACTGTTGATCTTGAGTCCTGGTTTCCTTCCTGTCGCGGCTGGTTCTCTATACATTTTCCTTTATTTCACTTTTCATAGCCTTCACTTCTTCCTCTATTTTTCTGGAGATTTTTCTGTTCTTTCATTTGGGCCATTTATTTTTTTTGTCTCAGTCCACCTGTTAGGTAGTAAGGGGTGGAGCCTTAGGTATTCACCAGGGTGGGGCAACTACAGGTCGCTCTGTTGTAGTGTTGTATGGGGGGAAGGAGTCTGTGGTGTTGTATGTGGGGGAGTTGCTTGTTCAGCTCTCTGCTGGCTTTCAGTCACTTTCTCTGCTTGATACTCAGAAGCAACTTGGGCCCTACTGGTGCTGATTCCAAGGTGGGTGGGTCTGTGTCCATTCTAGGACCCTGTGGATCTCTCCAGCAGCACTTTCCTTTATGGCTGGGATTTTCTCCCACTGATGCCTCAACCACCACACGTGTTTTCAGCCAGAATTTGAGGCTTTATTTCCCTGTGCTGAGACTCTGGGTTGGGCAGTCTGTCTTGCTCCCCAGGTGTTCTTCCCTGTTTATCCTCATGCAAACGTGAGACTGTCAGCTGTGGCAGCCACCTCCTGCCCCGGTTCTCAAGCTGCTGCCGTGCCAGGAGTCCTTTCCCCGCCAACTACTTACCTCTACTTCTGCTACCATTCTGAATGAATGTTTTTCTTTAACTCCTTGGTTTTCAGACTTCCATCCAGTTTGGTTTTCTGTCAGTTCTAATTGTGTTTTGTTTTTAAATTTGTTGTTGTCCTTTTTGAGTTGTGCAAGGAGGCACAGTGTGTCTACCTGTGCCTCCATCTTGGGCAGAATTTTGACTTTTATGTTCTGGTCTCCATTTCTACATCCCACTTGCCCAGGAATTTTCCTAGATTCTTACTTTTCTGCCTCACTCTGACTCTGCACTACATGCATGTGAAGTTTTTGCAATGTTCCAGAATGTTCTATGATAGGAGGCTGCTAGGCTCAGCTCAGGAGGACACTGAGGGTCAGTGTAAGGTAGCTGTTGAAACCTCAATCATATTTGTCATCCCTCATGGATTTCAAGGCCTCTACTGTCTCAGGATTAGTTAGGATCTGGAGACAGAGTGGAGAGCAGGGATGGAACC